ATATATATCTGTGTCTCTATATATATATATATATATATATATATATATATATATATATATATATATATATATATACATATATATATATATGTGTGGGTAGATAGAGGTCAGTACTAATTTCCTGAGAACTTTCCTCTCCCATGTGTAATAGGTTTTCTGCTGTTTTTGTTAGGGTCCAAGTTTCCCTTGCACATGTTACAACTGGTCTGATTACAGTTTCATAAATAGTTTTCTTTGTTTCTCTTGTAATGTTTTTGCTTTTGAGTATTTTCTGACTACTGAAGTATGCCCTGTTTCCGGCTGATATTCTTTATTTTATTTCTGTTTGAAATTCGTTTCTTTCATTTAACAAGGATCCTAGGTATTTGAATTGATTTACTTTTTCAAACGTCTGGTTTCTAATTTTAATTGCTTCATCTTTTTGTTCTTCTCTTATCATGGTCACGTATTTTGTTTTTTGGGTGTTAACTTCCAGCCCTGCTTGTAGAGATGTGTCTTCTAATTCAATAAAGAATTTTGACATGCCTTTAATACTTTTCCCTAGAAGTGCTATGTCATCAGCAAATGCAATATACTGAAGTGGTTGGTTGTAGAGTGTGCCCGTTGGTTGTGAGTCTTGAGTTTCCCTCGGAAAATATCCTGTTATAGTTTCTCGAATGTCAATGTGTATGTTTCTAATAACTATCTCTAATGTTAGGTTAAAAAGAATACAACATAGTGAGTCTCCCTCGTCTAATATGAAATTCCCTTGAATATTCTCCTTGAATCTTGATTTTGTTTTTTGAGTTGTTTAGTGTTATATGTATTAGTCTTGTCAGTTTGTTGGGTATCCCAAACTCCTGCAAAGTCTCATATAGATAGTTTCTTTTGATGCTGTCATAGGCCATTTTATAGTCCACAGGAATATAGTAAAGGGAATTAATCTATTTTAATAACATAGGAATATGGGAAGCAACTCACTAAAAGAAGCTCAAACCGTAGCATGGCCTTTAAAATAATGTTAACCGATCGTCGAAGATGTGCATTTGAGAAGACAGTGCAGTTTACCTCACGTAACATAACTCATTCCGAACTAATGTTATTACTCTTCTTACCAATAGAGTTCTTCAGTTGAAACGTGTGCGTGTCTGAGTGTGTGTGGTTGTATGTGTGTGCGTGTCTGTTATTTGTGAGAGACTAAACGTAACGTTTAGGGAAAGGTTCTCCGGAAAACATACGGACCAACCAGCGATTGTTAAGTCTGTATAAGGATCCCACTCTGGTAGCAGAAGAAGAAAAAAAAGGTCAAGCTACGCTGGGCAGGACACTTAGAGATAACGCCAAAAGACGGAGGAGTGAAGAGGTCGCACCACCAACAATCACAGAGGAAAACGGCTCGAAGGCAGACCTAGGCTTCGAGGGATGGATGGTGTGGGAAAAGACATACAGCAGCTGGGAATCCCAAGCATTGGAAAAGAGAAAGCATCAGTTAGGTCAGAGTGGAAGAAAATGGTGAGGCAGGCCAAAAGCCCCACATGGGCTGTAGCGCCACCTGGATGGATTCGGTAACTAAATTGATAATTTAAAAGAGTTTTATACTAAGAAAAAATAAATATGTCATAAATAAGTCTCTGTGGTCAGCTCTCACCTTTGGTTCCAAGAAGCTGCGACGTGCACAGCGACCACAACCCAGACAACGATTCCGGGTTGAAGGTAGCCGAATGGCATATTAACTTTCGGAAAAAAAGGGCTTGTCCCCCATAGCATGTAAAGACTGAATCCGGCCAATCGTGCGGAAGAACCACTACGTGGTCAACGGACAAGAAGTTTGAGAAACACTGGTCTAATATAATCCAGCAGCGCCCCTTTTTGGTAGTCCCATGCCCTCCCCCCCTCCCCGATCTCCTGATGCTTTTACCACACCTGGGGTTCTACTGCCTACTTTGAGAACCACTGCTATAAATTAACATAACTTGTTTTTTCCCCACTTATTAAAGCTTATATTAAATGTTGTTATCAAGAGCCATCCCCAATAAAAACAAAACTTTTTTTAAAACACTAATTTTTATCTGTTTGTAATAATTAAAAACGCTTTAGGTCACATAGCCACATCTGCAATCTTGACCCACTTTTGTTGTTTCTTTAAACGTGACACCAACTATTTTCTCTTAATTACTCTCCACGTAGCGATTCAAAGCATATCATTTAAATTGGTGTTTCTCTGGGGTGGGCTTGTGAAATACAATGGTAGTAGTATATTGCTAAGCTGAGCAATTCTATTGCAAGGACAAACAGGAATATGATAGAAAAATGCAGGTGTGTGTGTGAATTGTGTGCCCTTGTATCAATGGGGTTTACAATTATAAATAAGGGTTGTGTCATTCATTGGAAGGGAGGGTTGTGTCTTCGGAGACAGGGTTGTAACATTGGAAGTGAGAATGGTAGCAGTGAACGGAGAGAATTGTAGCATTGAACGGGAGATAACTGTATCATTGGGCTGGAGAGAACGTCACATTGAACGGGAGAGAATTGTAACATTGGACGGGAGTATTGTAGCATTGAACGGGCGTATTGTAGCTTTGACCGGGAGTATTGTAGCATTGAACGGGAGTATTGTAGCATTGAACGGGAGTATTGTAGCATATGGCGGGAGTATTGTAGCATTGAACTGAAGTATTGTAGCATTTGGCGGGAGAATTGTAGCATTGGACGGGAGTAGTGTAGCATTGAACGAGCGTATTGTAGCATTGAACGAGAGTATTGTAGCATTGAACGGGGGAGCTGTGCCACATAGTCAGGTTTGCGAAATTGTATATAAAGATGATCCAAAGTGAATAAGCGTGACACTTTGTATTGCTGAATGTGACCATTGGGGTTAACGTGGAGTGGGGTTGTCTGGTTGTAAGGAGTTGAAGGGGGAAATTAACAATGAAAACGTAGTATCAGACCTAAAATTATTATCCCGGTGTCACCGTCCGTGTTTAACCTACACTGTTAGAGGATGACCTTGACACCGATCTGTTCCCGAAATTGAACACAGACCACCTGACGTTGATGACACGGTAAGTTGCAGTCGCTAAGAGAGGGTGGGGGTGGGGGGTGGCGTGGGGGCGATTTGTGTACCGTACGTGCCACTGATCTAATATTTAAATGGTAGAAAATTATAGGATAGATTCAAAGTTGAGACCAAATCGTCGATACGACGAAACAATGGACGCTATATTTTTTTATATTTTCAGGCTTTCTCAAGAGCAGCGCTCCTCAAACTGTGATAGAATTAAAGCGTGCGGTACATCAATGTTTGCAAGGTGGTGCATCAAGATTTAAACCTAATATATGTAGCTACCTTTCCGAAACATACAAAAAAAAACCAACAAAGTTTACTTGTAACGGTTAATTTCAGAGGCTGCACTGTCATCTTTATGAGGATCCCTGCTCTTGTTGTCTGTTATAAACATTATTATTGCTTTGAATTTATAAAATAAGACTAAATTGTGAAATCGAGGCCTCATAATACATATTATATATTCCAATAATTGTCTTAGAAAGAAAGTGTATTCACTATTCAGGTATTGTAGCCTTGACACCAATGTGATGCGTCGCACAGATTGCCTATAAATAAGTATTACTTTGCTGAACATTCGTTTATTTAGATCTTGCGACCATTTCTCACTCTAGGTAAGCTGGTTAGTGTTTTTTTTTGTTTTTCTTATCAGCGCGTGTTTGTTTGTTGTTGTTTTTTTAACGATCTACTTTCAGTACAAAATGTGAAATCTTCAAAGAAATATTTTTTGTAACATAAATTCTTTCAAAACGTAGATTAGTTACAACTCCAAAAAAATGTGCTCATGGAATTATAATTAAATACGGTACAAATTCTACAATGAATAACATTTAGAAAATAAAATACACTAATCGATTTATTTTATGTTGTTTTTTTTAATATGGAAAAATTGAGTTTAAATGGATCTTTTATTTTTCTTGGTTTTTCTTTCTTAAAGTCTTACCAGAAAAACATTAAAATAAAGATTTTAGTGGGGAAACTCAGATGATTTCGTTATAGTTAAGCAATATATTTAAATAAATACATGAAAAACATTTTTTGTTCATGATATATTTTTAGATACTTTGTAATTGTAGTAAATAAGATCCATGAAAAAAAAAATGAAAAAAATTTATGTTCATATTTAAGATTTAAAAAAAAAATAATAATAATTTCAAGCCAATAAAAATTAAGTAATTTTATTTTAAAAACTTTTTTTTTTTTCGTTTTGTTTATTTGACAGCTCGGAATAAAAATTTCTCTAGCGAACATGTATGGATTAACTGATGATTAATTTACCAGGTTCAAACAATGTTATTTTTGTTTCCCTTTTCTCCAGGGTTAAATAAACTTTTAGGATACGAGTCTAACAAATAGTTTTGGACACGTGTGTACATTTATCTTAAGTTTAATATCCATATTGATTTCCAATGTGAATCTACCCCTTCACAAATATATGAAGAAAAAAAAATCAAGTTTTCCCAGAATGACTCCATAAGTCGGACTGTCATCTTCGTCCAAAGCCTCCACCCCCAGCCCAACCATCAGCTCCATGGCATGTGAATGGAGTACCTACTAATTTTGAACTCACACAAATTATTTACGAACATGCATTATTTATCGAATTTGAAATGCTCTTAAAACCTTAACCAATGTTAACTGTAAACTAAGCTGATGTTTCCTCCCACAGCAAGCGGGTAAGCACGTGTACCAAGCATGGCAATGTCATTGACAACGTTAGCATCTTCGTTTATCGCCATCACCGCTGGTAAGTGAGATAGATGAAGGAGTCGGTAATGTGAAAAAGAGATAGAAAGTAATGAAAGACTAATGAAAGAATGAGGAAAATGACAGAGAGAACCACGCACAAAGACCGTGGTTCCAAATCTTAAATTAAAAAAAAAAAATGTAATATTTTTTTTTTTGGAACCCATTTTACAGATCCATTTCTTATAGGGCTGCTATTTAGGGCTATATTTTACAAATGCAGCAATGTTTAATACTTTCATGTAGCGGCTGTGAAGCCCCTGGGACCCTTATTTGCCTATCGGAGCACATATTTGGAACCACGGGACTCAGCAGAGAGTGACAGGAGAATAAAATATATAGATACATAGACAGAAACATAGTTGGCCGGTCGAGGTGTCCACCATGACCGTTCTAAACACCAGGCCTGTTACCGTGGCTGAGCCTGTCCTCAGGTTCGCAAATGACTGACCAGTTCAATTCTGGGCACGAAACGTTCTGATGCACAAGGTGCAGGGGATGCATGGGGCAGCTCCAGGTACAGGGTGAGGGTCTGGCTTTTTTAAGGATTGCCTATTGTGCTCTGAAGCATGGGCGTCGGCAACGTTGTGGGTACTAGCGTGCCACAAGTAAGACTTCTATTCCGAACGTGTGCGAATAACCTTTAACTCACCATAAAACCCCGTATTTTTGGTTCATGTATAACTTTCGGGGAGGGGGTGGGTGGGTTTAGTGGGGGGGGGGGGGCGTCTGCCTCGAAAATAGTTGTATGAGTCAAGTCTGGCAAGTGTGCCATAATTTGCCAACTCTTGAAATAGATCATCTATTAAAAAACACTCCAGTCCTTAAACATTGCCAATATATTTCAGTTGTGTGTCTCCCAACCCCGCATGGTAACAGATGCGAGACGATCGGATGCTATAAAATCCTCTCTCCGGTGTGCGGCAGTGACGGCGAAACGTACGCGAACGAATGCAACCTGAACAGGACCAACTGCCTGCGAGACCCCGAGAATCAAATCACCAAGGTCAAGGACGGCTACTGCGAGGAAGTTCAAGATGGCTGCCCGACGTCCTGTCCACTTTCCGAGCAGCTCGTCTGTGGCAGCAACGGGGTCACGTACACCACGCTGTGCGGACTGACCAGGTCAAACTGTCGAAAGCCTCTGAGCGAACGGGCGACGTTCGCCTACATGGGAAGATGTGTTGAAACAACCACAGCGACCCCATCGCCTGCGGTCAATCACGTTGCGACAGCTGTTGCTCAAAGAGCACATCGAAAAGTCGACCTCACCTACGCTAGGCTCTAGGCCAGCGGTTCTCAACATGTGGGTCGTGACTCCCCCCCCCCACCCCCTTTGAGGATCGAGTGACTCTTCCAAAGGGGTCGCCTAAGACCCTCGGTAAAAACAACATATTAATGAAGTAGCAACGAAAATATTTTTTTTTAATGGTTATGGGGAGTGGGTCACCATAACACGAGGAAGTGTATTAAAGGGTAATTGCATTCGGAAGACTAAGAACCCCAACTCTAGAAACAGATCAGATGTAACCACTGCGACGAATGGTTTAGATAACTAGCTGGGAAGACATTTACATCCCAAAACATAATCGCAACTTTTCGTTTAGCCAGAACAATGCATTCGATCTGTAATGACGTCTGCGGATTTCAAAATATATTATGAAATATATCTTTTAACCACCAATGAAATCAATTTTTTTTTTTTTAAATGAATAGCCGTTGAAGAAATATAAGCATGTTAGTATTTTTTTCTTGTTGAAATAGTCCATTTTCTTAAACATAATTTTAAAACAATATATAAGTGCGTGTGTCCGTTATTATAAAATAGACTTCTTATCTATTTATATCTGAATGACACCATTTATTCTTAAGATTCTTTTTCAAAAGTTACTTAATTATTTTTTTTTAAAATAATAAAACTATTATGTAATTATTTTCTTTAAACTTTTTCTTTCTTTTAATCCTTAAGGATTCGATACTCTCTCATAACACAGCCATCCCTCGATTTTCTCTCCACCTTTTAAAATCGATTATTCCTGTCTATTGCGCACAAACCTATACTTTCTATTCAAACAATGGGTGCCACCATTTCAATAACTCAGGTTATTTTTAAAATGTTAAAATTCAAACACACAAACACACACACACACACAAACGCAAAATCATAGGCACATTCATAGACACACACACAAAAAGAGTTACGTTTTAAAAAGTTTCATTTGAAATTCAAGATGGTGCAATCCGTGATTCTTTCTATTTACATCATTGACGCCATCACCGCTGGTAAGGGAGACAGATGAAGGAGATGGGAAAAGAAAAGAACAATTTACAGACGGCTTCAATTTTAAATTATTTTAAAAAATTTTGTTGCTGTTGTTCGTTATAGTCCGAGAACCTCTGCACAGATTTTTTTTTTTTTTACATTCTATTTAAAGTTAAACGAATTGCATTGCCAATGTGATTGAAATCATACTTGATCGACTACTTTCTACACACGTATGTGTGGCGCATTGTGGCGTGAACTCTGCTCTGACGGCGACGCTGACGCCATGACGTCACAGTTTTGTTCCACTGCCGAACATTTCGAAATTGTGGAAGATCGACAGCGTTACTCTATCAAATTTCTACGTTTCTACTTAAGTTATTTGACACAAGGAAGTAGCGGAACCAGGATGGTGAGAAAGCTTATAAATAGAAAATAAACAATTCGAAAAATAACAGAGGCTTCCTCGGCAGACAGGACAAATGAAGAAATAAAACAAGAAACAGAAAATAGTTAGATGAACTAAACTCTTCTCCATGTATTTTATTGCCGAAAGTGTTGGGTTTTTTTTTCGTTTTTTTTCTTTTTTAAAATTTTGGTACCTAGTTTTTTTCTTAACGTAAATCATGAAATCAAATCTCTGTACCGGTATTGTATCTCCGCACCCACTGCCTTCGTTGATTTAACAGTATTTGATCGTACAGGAAGCGTTAATGCGTTCAGTGTTGAAATAATCGACTTTGTTCTTGTATAAATAAGGTCACGGGAATGAGGAACCCTACTCATGCTGCTGATACGCTTTCTTTGTAGGAATGTCAATCTCACCTTAGAATAGCTACTTTCTTTTCAGTTTTTTTTTTTTTTTATATTTTAATTTGACAAATGCATTTCTATAGCATCTTACCATTTTGTATGGCCATCTATTTAGCCAAAAGTAAATGTATATATATATATATATATATATATATATATATATATATATATAT